AGTTTAACATGTGTAGTTAACTGTCTGGTGAGTGTATATGTCGTCGTGTACAGTGTCATTTTACTTTTTTCATGTGTCTAGATTTTATTTGATTCCAGTTCAGCAAAATGGTTTTTCATACCTACCTTTAGTTAATGATAAACCATTATTGATGTTATTACAACACCTGTGATTTTAATACTGTTAAAAATACACATCTTTGATTGACATCCAAACTGTCATTGGACTATTGCAAGCACCACCTTTAAACAGAAAGTCTCGAATGTTTTCTTTCGTTTTTTAATGTTTGTTTTAAATACCGACTCATTGTCACCCTTCCATCCTGCAGATCCCAGCCTCAGTGAAGCAGTACAATATTTCTCCAGTCGACAGCGCCAGCATCCTCCTGGTCATTGAAGGTGAAGCCACGGGAACCTCGCCTGCTGCTCTCTCCGACCTCACACTGACGCGGGGCAGCGTCCTGTTCGTCTCGGCCAACGAGAGCGTCTCTCTACACATCACCTCGCAGTCGGGGATGACCCTTTTTCGAGCCTGCTGCCTTCTGTAGTTGTGGGTCTGTGGTCGTTAAAGCTCATACTACCTGTTTGTTTGTATTTGTGATTTGAAGTGTCGAGGTTTGTCCTTGTGTTTTACCTGAGCTCGATGACTCGTGCACTTTTTACAAGATAGTATAGAAGCTAAAGGAGCCTCATCGGTACCTGCTGCTCCCCTTTAACCCCTAAAATGTAACATGTGCCCTCTCTGCCACCTCCAGCACTCTTCTCTAGCTTTAAACTCCAGTTTTAATCCAATGCTGATGGATTTAATTGGTTCTTACCCTTTTCGTGTGTGCAAGTACTCATAAAACACAGAAGATCTGCACATCCAAAATTCTTTATAGGTGCTGGATAGAGGGCAGAATAAAAAGTAAAATATGTCTGTTTAGTTGCTGTTTTGGTGTTTAAGGTCCTTAGTTTGCTCAAAAATAGAAATCTGAACATCTGCCGTCCCAGGACAAGTGAAGAACATCCAACATGATTAAAAGTTTTCAATTAGCTGAAGGTGGATTGTAAAAATATTGGTGATAACTGGAAAAAAACATCAAGTACAGTTAATTTCTCAATTTTTTTCCTGCATGTTATTTTATACCCTGAATTATGAAGGTGACACACACTAGCTGTAATGAACTAAACAGCATTGTGGGGCTGATGTTTACTGTTGTACACTTCACCACCACTCAGTGCTTTGAACAGCCAGACAACCAACCTGTTAAGGACAACAAAGCACATCTGTTTTATATGCCAGCTACTGCGTTCCCCCAGGATCAGTGTTGTCATTTTAACTTTAGCTCAAACTGGAGAATATCCACCTTTCAAACTTAATTTTAGGCAAAAAAAAAAAAGTAAAAGAAAAACAGTAAAAAGTACAAAGTGTGATACTGAGATGCCTGTGCATGTTTTAGAGCAGTAGCACTCTCCAGAGCACTTTCTGTGATTACTATATCAGTGCTACAAACCAATCACAGTGAAGCTAAGCCTGCTGAGTGTTACTGCTTCTGTTACTGCATGTTTTACAGTCTGGAAACATCCCGTCAAAGTGGTGAAAACTCATGAGTATTAAAAATGAATGAATAAAAATAAATAAGAAGCGGGCATGAAGAGCCATTTCCATCTCTGTCCCATAAAGCATGACGATGTGGCAACCATGTAGGGGTGTAACAATTCTGAGACCGAAACCATGATACAAACGTCCACCATGCTGTGTCACGTAGGTACTCTGGGATTCACGTAGAGCAGTTAAAGCATGCTAACTTTATGAAAGATGTAATAAAGATTGTTCAAGTAACAAGCAGGGACGCCTGCTATTTGTCGACTATACATAAAGTCCAGAAGTATTAGAAGTGCAGACTTTAATTAGTGCTTTAATTAGATGCAAGTTAACTGTTGATTTGAAGAGTTTGTTCAGTCACCCATAACAGGTGGGAGTACCTCTCCCTGACAGGGCGTGATGTTCGACTTTTGTATGTGGGCTTATCTGACAAAATTAACAACCAGAGCATGTGGGCGTTAACCTGAAAAGAAAAAGTACTTCTGGTGTTTATGCTAACACTAGCCACACTCGGCCACACAAAAAGGCAGAACAGAGTTCAGATTTTTGGTTACGCATTGTGCGAACAGTATTTGTATGGACAATGATTCATTCCCTTTAATGTTTCACACAAAACATGAAGTGAAGTGTTTGTACGTCTCTGCAGTCTATCTAACGAGACAGAGGAAAATTGTCAATTCTCTCCTGATGAAACTACAGTCAGAATGGATGGCATCATTACGGCTTACAACGTGTCAGTGTACACATATGACCTTGGAGGGAGCCAGTGTGTGCATACATGTGTGTGTTTGTGTGAGAGAGAGACTGGGCCTGGGGCCTGTGGGACATTGTCATGGAGGATGGGACGCTACCCACTGGTCATTGCTGCCTCCAGTGGGATGTGAGTACTTGATGTACTTGATGGTCCAGGGAGTGCGGGTCGATGATTTGTTGTGGTTGCTTACCCGCTTCTTTGTGTGATTCCAGGCCGTTCTTGGGCATTTTGGGGGCTGGGGTCTTGTCCTCAGCTTGTGCTGGGATGGTTGGCATCTGGCCAGGTCAGCTCCCTGTTGCATCTGGTCCTCTGAGTCTCGTCCCTTTGGCGATGGGGGATAAATCTGTGGCCTCAATCTTCCTTCTACGGGGTTGAGCACACAGTTTTCCCTGGGTCGTGCGGTCTTGGGTCTTCAATACTCGTCTGCTCCTGGCTAACAGGGGATGTTGCTGCGAATTGTTGCCCTCATTATCAAGAACGTTTTGCATTGTGCTAATCTGGATGTATCAAAGAACTTTTGCACTGATTTGATTGATTGATTGATTGATTGATTGATTGGTAATTTATTTCAACATGTGAACAATATACAAGTACATTTAGAAAAGAAAATAAGAGAGAAAAAAATACTATACAAATTACATACAAAAATAAATGTTCTGATTAATTTACATGTTGAAAGGGAGTGAGAAGAAGTACACACTTATTTAATCCCACCCCTTTGCCATAAATTATCAGTTAATATTTAGTCAGCTTCCTTACTGATATAATTTGTAATAAAAATAGTGAACAGATTTCTGATATACTTTATACTATAATATCACATCATGAGTTTTTTGTTTGTTTGTTTGTTTGTTTTTAAATAGAGACATTCACTTAATTTCAATATTTTCCTTTTCTTTATAGTTCGAGAAGATCATATTTTTATAACTCTTTTTGAACAGTTTTATGTTTGGACATTGCTTTAATTCCATATTCAGACTGTTCCACAGTTTCACTCCATGAACAGAAACACAAAAGCCTTTTCTTGTAGTACGTACCTTCATTGTTTTGAAGTTACAAAAACCCCTTAAATTATAACTTCCTTCTTTCAAAAAAAACATACTCTGAATATTACCTGGCAGTTCTTTATTTTTTGCTTTGAATAGAATTTGTGCTGTATGGAATTTCACTATATCGTCAATTTTCAATATTTCAGACTGCAAAAATAGTGAGTTTGTATGTTCCCTATAACCTGCATTGTGGATGATTCGAATTGCTTTTTTTTTGAAGAGTAAAAAGTGAATGTAATGTGGTTTTATAGTTATTGCCCCAGACCTCTGCACAATAGCTTAAGTATGGTGAAACCAGTGAACAGTAGAGAATATGAAGTGATGTTCTGTCGAATACCTGTTTTGCCTTGTTTAGTACTGCAATGCTTCGTGATACTTTGGAATGAATATATCTTACGTGAGCTCTCCAGTTAAGTTTTTCATCTATTATTACCCCCAGAAATTTATTTTCACTGACTCTTTCAATATCAACACCATTTATTTGAATCTTTGCATTTGTATTTAAACTACTATTTCCAAATAACATAAGTTTAGATTTATTCAAATTTAATGATAATTTATTTTTATCAAGCCAGAACTTCACTTTACTTATTTCATTAGTCATATCCTCCAATAAATTCTGCAGATCATCACCAGAGCAAAAAATGTTTGTATCGTCAGCAAAGAGAACCATTTTTAATACACTGGACATTTTCTTCTTGGGGAATCAAATGTTTTTGGGACAACAGCTGAAGCTGTCGGACAGGACGGGTATTGAGACTGTCTGAGGGTATATAGAGCTGAACGGGTAAACTTCACTTTGCGGAAAAAAGTGAGGGAACTCATGCAACCTAATGGATTTTTACACCATTTTCAAATTTTGAAATCACTCTGACATGTTTCCAGCTATTGGTTGTACTCCTCATTGTCCTGTTCGCTGTTAGTAGCGTAGTAACTTGAAGTGTTACATTAGGAAGGGTATCTGGCATAAAAACTGTGCCAAATCAAAAACTCAGATCCATCCGCTGTGGCAGCATCTTGGGGAAAAAAGAAAGCAGCTGTAAATACCTCATTCAGCAGTTTTCAATGTGCATGAATTCACGCAAATAACTCACGGCAATACTTCACTTTGTCTTTGGTGTGAACGCAAAAAAAAAAAAAGAAGGTATGAACCTTGTAGTTTGGGAGAATTGTTACACCTCGAGAATCATAAATGCATACCGAGTCAAACATCTTGTTTGTCAACTAACAATTAACTAAACCTGCTTTAAGGTACTTATTGTAATTTCCTCTGTTTTGAAAGTGTTTTTAACACCTTTTAAATTTAAATGAAGCTTTCAGCAGAATGTAAACAATTGATCGGCATGACTTTACATCCAAAACACTGATATATTTTTTTGTTGAAGAAATATAAAGAGAACCTTAACCAGGGCTGGACGGCAATTTTGTGTAATACCAATTTGTACCACAAGATGGTGCATCAGCGTAACCTTTGTTTAACCAGGCAAGCCATTAGAACAGTTTGTACAAAGGCATTTACTGGTGAAATACTGCCCCCTGGTGATAAAGGTTTTAGTTAACATTTGCTGCAGTTTAATTACAAAAAGTACCTTTAAAAGATTTTTTTGTCTTTTTGTACAGTTGTACAACAAAATGCTGCATTGAATTTTATACCTTATTGTATTGGAGAGATTTTTTGACTGTTGTTTGTAACGATTAATCAGCACGTGACGATACATATGAAGTAAATGGTTTTACATGTTTATTATAATAGCTAAACAGGTTTCTTTTCCTAAAATATAATCTCTTTTGGTGACCACTTTACAACATGTTGGTGCAGTAGTAATAGTAGATTATTTCGGTAATGGTGCAAACTTCTGTGTAACTTTCCGGTTCTAGTACCAGGGTCGATCTGAATTCACTCAATAATGATGTGCACTTTCTTCTCGTAGTAGTTTTTATAGGCTCTCAACTCAAATATTCAATGATAGGTCCTCTATCAGCCTGCCAACCTACCACTGAACACGTTTTTCAGAGTGAGTGAAGCCGTGTTAATGCTTTATTATCACGCTTGTGATGTAGGTTGATTGTCCCCAGTGCAGATGCGGTAAACCTTTACTTGTTTACTGTTGTTTTTTTAAAAAAAAGAAGAGTATTAAGAAGGATGTGAAGTTATTTTTAGATCACTTTTCTTGATTACCTCAAATCATCCTTCTGTAGCTCAAAACACTGTTAACGAATCATCTCTTGTTTGCCATGTTTTCATGTTATCTTCGTTTTGTGGAGTACTGTATTTAATGTAACTTCTGATTTAATGATCACGCACCTTTTTGTTGCCGATCTTGCTGTAAGTCACATTTTCACTTGAATACTGGACACCTGAAGTTTGTGGCTCTTTTTTTCCTTACTGTAAACTAATGACTTTCAAATACAGTTTGCATTTTCTTTAACCTTTTAGGGGAACATTTACTAGAATATGTCTGTAGTCAGGGCATGGTTGAGTATTTTTGAATGTGGTGATGCTGTAGCATGGTACTGCAGAGAACATGTATGTAAAAACGGTTTAATAAAGCCAGGTTCTGTTAACCGTACGGTCTGAACTTGTTTTTTATTTCCTGCCTCTGGAGCATGAACATGAACAACACACACAGACTTTTACAGCCCCCCCGTGTGACAGTACTGTATTGTAGCAAGTATTTCTATTATATCATAGAAATGTTTGTTATAACACAATGTCATAGAGTGGCAAATGTGTAGCAGACTGGGGTGACCTGATGATGTTCTCCACAGCCTCCCTGGAAAGATCAAAGCCTTAAGAGAAGGGTGTGTCTGTTATGCTCTTGAGGATATTTGAATGGGCAGCAGGTCAGACCCAGGACACGCTTATGAACACCTCAGTGTCAGCCCTGAGGAGCGAGAGGGGAGGGCGGTGTAGGCATCTCTGATTGGAATGTTTTACATGCTAGTGAGCAGAAAAGAGCATGTGAGAGTATACAATCTGGAACAGAGTAGAAATGCAACACATTTATTAATGTCAAATATAGCTTTCTATAGAACACATTGAAACATTAAGTATATGAAGTTTCTTTTGTCATAAAGCTGGTAGCAAATATCTGAATATAATAATGAAAGTAAAGCTGCTAGGTCAACGATGAGTAAGGCATTTTAAAATTTACCCCACACTGCCTAAGGCTCGACCACTTATGTTGTGTTGTAGAAAAGTGCAATAAAGCTTTATTTCCTTATATCCAGTGTACAGGCTTTCGTTATGTTTACTTATTTTCTTTTAATATTAATTTCTTAAGTCTCAGATAATGAATTAAAATTGTATCAGGTTCTGTTATGATCCTCCGTAACCGTCACGGTCTGTTTGAAGTGCTCCCACAGGGGGCGCTGTCCTGGTAGTCTGCAGTGCACTTTGGCAGCTGTGACAGGTGTTTTGTCGTCCATGGTGTCCAGAGTAAATCTGTGCCTGCAGATCACTTCCGGCTTGGGCCGAAGAACATCATACAGTGCCTGTAAAGCCCGCACGTCCTCCAGAGCATCATGGGCCTTGTAGCTCACGCCCAGCAGCTCCCTGACCAAGTTCTCCTGTCGAAAACTCTCCAGCCCATAGTCCTTCAGCACCTCACGTGACAGCGGCAGAGTGTCAACGTAACCTGAGACCAAAGACTCAAACTCTGCTCTGAGACCAAATTCATCTAGCGCGCGAGCCAGAAGCACACAATCAAAGCGGCGAATGTTGTGGCCGACGACGAGAGGGCGGCCGAGCATCTGAAGGAAAGCTATAAAGGAGACGAGCACCTCTCTGAGGGAGTTGGTGAGAACAGGCTGCCGGTGCAGGTACAGCCTCTGCCTGTGAACCTTGAAGCCAGTCACCTTGGAAGCTCCTCGCTGCATTCGACAGCGAGGGACGACGTAGAGGTTCAGCGAGTGGCCTCCACTCACCGCAGCCAGCTGGACGATCTCACAATTTGGATCTAGAGGAATAAAACATAAATAAAACATTTAGCAGAAACAAGAGCAATTTTAAGAGCCAATAAATGAAAGTAAAATAAATAAAGAAGAAACAGAAAAAACACCCTCAAATAAGTTAATAATTGTTGATGTTGCACAGTTTGTTTTCCACTGTGCAGCTTCCTGCAGCAGACATGGGCTTAGCATAAATGGGTAAAAAAAATAACTACAAATAATAAACCTGAGGGACATCTGTTTGTGTTTTGTCTTTGAAAGAATAAATAACTCAGCCATTATACTGGAATATGATTTTTAAATAATCAAATATCAGTCCAAATCTATATTATAGCTTCAACTTTCTGTTCTTAGCTCACAGGAGTGGTCTTTTACTGCTGTAGCCTTCAAGGTTCAACATGTTGTGCATTCAGAGATGCTGTTCTGCACATTTTCTGCTATTTAATAGTTGTTGTTTTTTTCTTTTAAAGAAAAGAAAAATGACCAAAAAAACAAACAAATGAGCTATTGAATATTTTGGCTCCATTTATCTTCCATACATGTGTGCACGGTGCGCTTAGTGGGTCAACCGTGTGTGTCTTTCCAACTTTTAACCGCAGTTTACAACATTATCACCATGATACAGTTTTATCGTCATAATAACTCGCGTAAAACAAAGTTAGAGTATGACCGTACCCAGTCCAGTCGTCTCCAGGTCAAAGAAAACCAGCGACTGTTGAGCGCCTTCAGCTTCCTCAGTTTTTTGCATCACGAATAAATAACTTCCGTTAGTGAGAGCAACGGAGAGGTTAGCTAAAAAAGTCCAAAAGCGACTATCATCATTGGCCTAAAGTGTTTAGCGATAAAACATTACATTTGGTCGGCACAGTTCTACTGTACACCGAGTCTGTCAAGCTTTCCCCGCCATGTTTTAAAGCACCTGCGCAGTGACCGACCGGAAGCTTGAAAGTTTCAAAACAAAAGCCTCGACGAAAAGGACCATATTGGACCATACAACGAAGATACATGAAAAACACAACTAAAAAAACTCGCACGCTTAGGTATAACATGCAACTGAAAACCGAGAAATAAAGAACCTTCCCATTTAACTTTTTTTTGTTATTTCTTCCTCTTTGGAGCTAAAAGAGGCCACACATACACATGAGATGTCAATGGAAACCCCAGGATGTCCTTATTTTGTACATCAGGACTTGGTAGGGTAGCTTACATAAGTCAAATGATATAGACCAAAAACAAATGCCCATTACAGAGGACATAAATGAATAGGCTGGTTCTAAGGAGGATATATTTGTTTGACATACTGATTTTTTTCTGCGTGAGTCATGCAAAAATTTTGAATAGTACAATGCTCCCATCTATAAGAGACAAAAAGATAGCAAGTCATCTATACAAATTACAAGCTATGTTGGGCTCCACCACTGACTGTAGAAAAAATAAAATAAATCTTTGATATAATCATTGGTGTTAACCAGCAAGCCCAAGGTTCACAACTATGCCCTCTAGAGAAGAAGACGTGTGTAATTGGTTCCATATGCTTGTCTGTCTGTCTCTTTGTTAGCAGTCTAGCTTCTACGGTTCTCAAGAAATGAAGAGTCAGCTGAGACAGGATACGGTGCAGTTTAAAGGTGTCATTTCCTGCTCTTATAGAAACCTGGGATAAAACAGAATCAGTGGAACCTTAGAAACCACAGAGAGACACTTTGTAGTAGCAGATCTTTTATTAAGGCTGAGAAAGATGTGGGTAATGCGCTTTAAAAAAAAAAAAAAAAAAAATTTTGCAGACCCATTGCATTTTGGTCCACAGAGGCTACAAAAAGGCATCAATGAGATCAAAGGGAAACAGAAAAGGAAGATTGCACTGCATGTGACACATTACATTACATTTAACAGTAAATAAGTTAAATCTTGATAACTTATGACCACACATACTCCATTTCATTTGTTCCTGTTTGTCCACTGACCTGAACATAACAGCTTTAACATTATTTATTTTATTTATTAAAATTATTTAATATTTTTGCTTTGTCTGATAATTTCTCATGTATTTCTTTCAGCATTTTGTTAATACACCCGGACTGCCCTGAAGGTACAATTGGAGACGCTAAATGTGGTAGGTCTCCAGGCCTTGTACAGCTCCTGCAGCATTTTGGCATCCTCCACAGCATTATGAGCGTCGTAGCTTTTTCCCAGGAAGCGCTGGACCATGGACTCCTGGGAGTAACTGCTCAGACGAAACAGGTTCTTGCTAAGCAAGAAGGTGTCCAGGAACCCAGACACCACCTGTTGGAACTGCTGCAGGAGGGAGCAATTCTGCAGCCACCTGGTGAGCACAGGTGCGTCGAAGCGCTTTGCATTGTGGGCCGCCAGCAGCACTGGACGGTGGAAGGAGCGCAGGAAGGCGATGAAATTAGTGAGAGCCTCGGCAAGAGGGATGGTGTCCACGGGAACCCCGCGGAGAAAGAGGCGGTTGTTGCTGACGGTGAAGCCCGTGACACGTTTTGCGCTCTCTGTGAGAGGCTGGCGGGGGAGGATGTAGACATTAAAGATCCTGTCTTCACAGATGGCGCCGAGCTGAATGATGTCACACACCGTGGTGTCTGAAAATAGAAGACGGGACAAAAGGAAAAACAGATAACCACAAGTTATAATAGAACAGTCTTTTTGCAGAAAGCAGTGCAACATGAACAGGATGATAGCTTTCCATTTAAAAGCAATAGTTTGTCAGGTTAATATTTCTATCCTTGTCAAGACTTAGATGAGAAATCTTACACCACTCTTAACATCTGTCACTCACATGGATACCTTGACAGAAATGCTGAAAACAGTAGCCTACTGGTGGGCAGATCTATCGCAATATCGATACCAACACTGGTATTGGATCGATACTAACACAATCGTATGTAGTTAAAATCCCAACACTGTTGTGTTGGTGTTCATTAAAATGTACTCAGGAATAAGCAAATTTATGATAATTCAGCTAATAAATCATGACACACAGCTCTGACCTACATAAGCTCCCCTTATAAGTTAAAGGTATCGGTATCGGCAATACTGCTCCTAATCCACTTGGTATTGGATCGATACCAAAATTTACAGTATCGCACAGCACTAGAAAACAGACAGTCTTGAGGATGATACAGAGCATGCAAGTTTTTGTGTGGTTAGTTTTCAAACAAATGGGAGAGGTGCCTAGACATACATTTGTGCAGGAGTTGGGGCTCGAACATTCTCTTTGTTGTGCTGGATGATAGTTTCTGCACCTTTCAGGATGTTACGCCTGATAGGGATAACCCTTCTTTCTATTTTGTGAACTGAACAGTTTTTCCTTCACATTTCAGGGCTGCTTCCAGATTGAAATGACTGAGTGTGAATCAGAAGATGATGGAAAACAGCTTATTGTATTTTCTGGATGCAAGTCCACTGGAGAATTACGCAACATTAAAAAATGGCCGGTAGATGTATTAAACATAAATAAATAGACAAAAACACATAATGTTTGTTATCAGGAAGTGATAACAGATAATCACTCCCTATTTGTAGATTACAGTGAAAATGAAAATATCATCAGCTGCTGTTGTTAATCTTCAGCTCTCTGCGTGCTGTTCTTTTTGTCCTGCAGGGCGGTTTGCTGATCCCGCTTATACTGACGTCAGTAACACGCCTCTCTTTAATGGACTCCTGCCAAGACGTGTGACACCAACATGCCTGGCCTATGAGGCCATTCTCACACCCACGCTAGCTCAAATCACAGAAACGAAATCAGCATCTGGTTTCATCTATGGCGTGTCTTATGTCCCAACGATGACAGGAAATATAATTTTGACTGACTTCCTAACTGAACAGTGCTGTGGTTTCCACTGAGTAATCTGCTGAACTCTTTCTCAAATTAACTGCAGCCATGCAGTCCTGAAACACGAGTGTGTATTTAATGTTAAATGTACTGTTCATATGATGCAGAACATGTATGATACTAGCACGTGGGCACAGCCGTGGTTTCTGTGCTTCTTGTTTGTTTGTTTTTTGTTTAAAGCTGCCTGACACTTTTTATAATCCCTCAAAGAGAGCTTGAGGAAACGGAAGGCTGACAAGTGTAAGATTAGCTTAGACAGCAGTAAAAACAGAAACTACCACCCTCCTTATCGCGTAGAGTAAGGGCTTTACATGATGTGCACACATGATGGATAATATCAGTACATTTTTTATGTGTGAACAACACAAGGTAATGTAGGGGATCACTGATCTAGGAAGTTTGTCCCATAAAATATATATTTATTTATTTTTTAAAACAAAAAAAACTAAGTGCAGCAGCGGCCGTCTATCAAGTAAATAAAGTGATGTTTTGGTGCTTAAAGCGTGTTGTAATTCTGTTTTGGTAAATTGGTGAACGCAGTATTAGGCAAGGCACAGAGTTGCAACTGCATGTAACTACTGCTTTCATTTCATTGACATCCAGTGATGCTGAGGTTTAAGTTACTCCAAAAAAGCTCTATCTAAAATAACATAAAATAAAACAAAATACAACAAGAAACGTTATATTATTAGATTAGTACCTAATCCAGTGGTTTCCAGGTCAAAGAAAACGACAGTTCTGTCTTGAGCCATCTGCAGATGAAAAATTAAAACAAAACAACAACAAACAACAACAGTCAGTGTTTAAACGGAACCTTTTTAAAGTTAATTTTGCCTCCTCAGTCACAGCTGTAGTCAGTCACTGAGAGCGTGTATTGAACTCACCGTGCAGCCTGCAGGTTGCTGTAAGTCTGCTGAGCCTTGTGACAGATGTGAAGTCAGCTGGAGAGAATAAATGTACTCATGCGGACTCCTCAGGGAGGGCCCAGCAGGTGAACCCCCGCCACGACATTTCACAACTTAAAACTGCGCCCTGCTTTCATTTTAGTGGAAGAGAAACTCTTTTTTTCTTCCTTCTAACCAGTCTCCTTCCTGCTCGTTCGGCCCGAACGTCCGTGAATGTGCCAGCGGTAGAAACACACTCACACGCACGTTTCTCGGTAAACGTGGAAACTTCTCTGCTCTTCGTTCACTTTCATTTTTGAGCCGCTAGATGACACACGGTTTTTGTTCTACGGCAAACCGTAGATTTGAATAGCCTATGTTATATAAATGAATAAATAATAATACAGTGACTGTATGACACAAAATACAAATATAAAGAAATTCATATTTTTAAAAAGTTACACTATTAAGCGAAACTTTAAAAAGTAGAGTGTGACCGTAATGATTTTGAAGTAATTTGAAATAAAAAAAGTTTTTAAAAAGCTGTTAAAGACGGTAAAAAACAACCCCCCCCCCAAAAAAAAGCAAAACAACATCAACAAAAAACGTATTCTACAGTATTATAAATATTCTGCGAAGCATTTTATTTTATTTTATCTTGCGCTCGTTTGCTGCCGCCTTCTACCAACCAGGGATGCTCATGATTGATCATTTTCCTATAGTCCAGTATAAACGTTTTCACAGCCCCTCTGCTGTTCTGTGAAAGTTTGTAGACACCTTCAGAAACAGTAACTTGAAGTAATTATTTACTGTGTGACTTTATCACATAGTAGTGAGGAAATTGTGGTCCGCTCTCACAGCGGTTTCGGTTCACTGAGCTTTATGGTGTTTCATTCATACACAGCATTCCAGTCAAGCTGAGATCTGGACTTTGACTGGATCATTGCAGCTCCTTGATCCATTCATTTTCAGACATTGTAGATTTGCTGCTGCACTTGGGGCCATTGTCCTGTTGCACAACCCAGTTTTCTCCAAGCATTAACCGTTGGACACACTTGACTCACACGTTAGAGAACTTTGGTATTCTTCGGTTTGCCAAGTTGCATCTGAGCAAACCACAAGAGTTGTTGAACCAATGTCCTTTGGATAGAGGAGAGCGAAGCGGAGACGTTTGGCCAAAATGCACAGATCTACATTTAGAGAAAATTAAATGCAGCATAACAAACACTTCTTATCAACTGTCAGGCACCGTGGCGGGGGGATGGTGATTTGGGCTGGGGACCTTGAAGTGACTGACCAATACCTCCTCAGGCTGTACTGCCATGTCTTTTGTTTGTTTTGTTTTTTTTAGAAATCAGACCTTGGGTTGAAATTACTGGGACATTCTGTTGACTATTTTTCAGCTGTGAATAATCTTTCTCACTGGACCATAGATGTATAACCTTTGCAGGTTGATGTGCAGCAGCTCATTGCTTCTCTAAGACCATTGTCGATGCCTTTCCTTCTTCACATTGTGTTAACAAACACCTGAGTGCTCCAGACCTGCAAACAGACAAAACTTCTGCTTTTATAGAGGAGGTGACATTTTCTGCTACTTACTCTCTTTATTCCTATGGAAGTGCAAAGGGTGCACTTAGTTTTTCACACTGTGGTTGTGAAAGTATCATGCATTCACTTAAAATAAGGCTGGTTTTTGTTTATTTTTTATGTACTCGGATAATTATATGAGTAATTCAGTGGTACGTGCTTTAACGCATTATGTTATTTTGGAGAAAATTTGGAGAAAAAAATCCCTTCACTATTAGGCTATAACGTAAAAGTCAATATATTGTATTCAGACCTTTTCTATCTGAACCTGAGCTTAAAAAAAAAAACATACCAGACATCACTCAAAACACATCAGCATGAAGACGATCACAGAGGTGAGGAGGTGTGGTGCCAACACAAAAAGCTTATGTAACTGTTTCTGATTGCAGTTTCCCCTGTTTCCTCTGGAGCAAATCTTATTGGATAACTGTTGTAGAAAAGAAATACTCTGTGTTAATAAATTCTAATTTTTCTTTTATTCATCTGGTTTACCCTCTCGCACCCTCCATGTCTTTCTCTGCACTGATGGTGGCACTAGAGCAGTGTTTCCCAACCTTTTGGAGCCACAGCACATATTTCACATCAGAAAAATCACACCAAACAAAAATGCCACAAAAGCATATTGATAGTTTTTGTTTTGAATTGGCTCGGTTTGTCCCGAGTATGCCCTTCTCGCTTTCTTCTGACCACTACTCATGCTAGGGCCTTCATTTGGGTCAGAATTTTCTCCAGCACCCAGGTCAGATTGACTACCTTTTCTTTTCAAATATTTATCTATTCCTTATACGCACTGCGTTGCCTGACAGAATGACTATTATGTAATTTCTTCTTCCTTCTTCTGTTTTACTGGCAGTTGGCAACCAATTTAATTAGAGCAGGTTGTACTGCCCTTTAATAGAAGATAATGTAACTACTCTGCCCATTACGCCGATTGCTTAGAGTACTAATCAGGTGAAACCAGATAATCCTCCACGGCACACCTATGTGTGGTTGGGAAAACACTGCACTACAGCCCAATGACGCGTCACCAAGGGCGTAGATTTGGCATGGACGGAAGGGACATGTCCCCACCAATCATTATTGAATTGTCCCCACCAATAATTTGATCTATTCGAGTAAAGAAAATCAAACCCGATAGAAAGAAAACAAAAACGATCTGTCAACGTCTCGTTCACCCAGCGGTGCAGAAAGAGTTAAATTACGTCCTCTACTGGAGTCCTACCTCATGTGACAAATATGGCCAATGTGATTGGCTGTGCCTTTCAGGGAGCTCTGTTTAGTTTTAGCAGCGGCAAGCCTGCGCTGTGAGGAGGACGGCAGCAAAAAGGAAGAATCTGGATATAAGTATTTTTCAAAGAAACCTGTAAGTCACTTAAAGCCAAATTAACTCATAAAATGTGTCCGTCATAATAACGTTACAGGCTATGCTAGGCTTTGGCCCACATCAGTCTAAAATTGTATGTAACCACGAATAAGTGTTTTGGAAACTAACTGCACAACAGGCAGCACTATTAGTTTCTCAGTCTCAGAGCAGCATTTCTAATTTTGATTGAAACTGTCAGAGAAAACGGCAGCCTCGAGCAAGCCAGGATATTAGTTTACAGAGGCTGTTAAAATTATATGTCTAACGTTAAAATGTTGGTGACACAATAATTTCATCCTAATGGTACTGACATATTCATAGGGTTAATTTTTGAGACAAAATGTCATGAGGTAGTCATGATTTTGCAAATATTCCACCTTGTAGTGCAGTTTGCACAAATTGTTTTAAAAATGCACTCACCTACAAACATTACTGATGAGTCAAGATCTGCACAAATTGACAGAAACACTGAAGCAGCTCCACATTTTATTCTTATTGTCATGTATGTCCTATTTGTCAGGTGACAGAAGAACCAACACAAAGCTCAGAGAGCAATGGTGATGCAAGATCACAGGTGAAATTGGATCATGACGAGAGCACATGTGTGACTGCATGTATGTGGAATGTCTCACTGTTATTCATCAGGTGACAGAGGCAGCTCTGCCATGTTGTAGCTCAGACAGAGGTGAAGAGGCGAGGTCACAGGTGACTGACTGATGATTTGGTGCTATAGATTAACTAGTATTTATTATCATGACAATTGTTAGGCTGCTGATGTAAATTGATTCATTAGTGTATATTTGACAAAGAATCTGAATTGACATGTCTCACTTTTTATATGGCACGAATCAATGTGTTATTTTATCAGGTGGCAATATGTCCTAGTGCAGTCAGAGGGGAAGAGCCAGGGCCAAAGGTGAGGCACATCAAGCACAGAATAATAATTGTAATCTGAGGATAAAACGCATGTACTGAGGCTGAAAGAAGCTTCAGTGCTCTCAGAAGACTAAAAAGATGGCTAAGGTCAACAATGACTCAAATGAGATTAAACAATGCTGCTGTATGTCCACCAGGAGAGACTGGACAGTATAGATGTAAAACAAATATGCCAGCAGTTTATCTCAGTTAACGAGAGGAGCAGGCATGTGTTTGGCTCCTTCACATAGTGGACATTGAGTTGTTGTGTGGGACACCAGTAGTCCATGTCTGTTGCTGTAACAGTAGTTCATGTTTAGAATAGAAAATCTCAGCTCACTGATTTGATCGGGGCAATAGTGCCTAAACTGTTGCATAATTTTGCTGAGAGATCTTTTACTTTGTGGTAATCTTAGATGAGTAGTTTTATGGACAAAAACCAGCAGGTCATTCAGTGTTCCCTTAGTGCCAAAGTATAACAGATGTTGGTGTACTATAACTGAAGTAATGATGTTAAGTCCTTAAAGTCATATTCTTTTATTGTCATGACTGTATTTGAAGCTATTTTTATTTTTGTATGATACCTGATTTATATGGAATATGGCTGAAGTAAACTAAAGCCTAAAATACTTAGTCAGTCATTTGTTTAATAGTAATTTAACATTATATAATTCACATATAAAACTATGAATTGTGAATTTTAAATGGTTTAAAAGCACTGTAGAATAGCATATGTAGGCAAGTATATTTCTCCTCTTTTTATAAGAAGCAAAAAGAAAAAGAAACAGGGCAGAGTTCGGTGGTTGAATCATCCGTCCCCACCAATGCCAAAACCAAATCTACGCCCTTGCGCGTCACAGAACATAAATGACAATTCATAAATATCTGGAGTAGATGAAAGCCCTCTAGCTCAATGAATTAATATGCTTCCTTAACAACAAATGTTTATTTTAAAGATTTATACGTTTCTCTTAGGTTCTCAAACTGTGGGACAGCTCCCACTAGTGGTGGGTGGTGGTACTGCAGGTGGGCTCTGCACAAGCGAAGACGTCTCTTGTGATTTTATTTCAGGTTGGATCTTTGTTGGTGTTGACCGAGTGAATGATTGTGTGAGCTTCTTTTGGTTCGTGAAGTCAGGTTCAAAAGATGACTCAACTCACTCGTGCTTGGCTGCAATTTTGCTTTTTTAATAAGCAGATGGATTTTCCCTCATAAAGTCTTTTTTTTCTTCTTACAACCATAGACATGTTTATATCATTTAAAAAAAGAGGAAATGTAACACAAATCGCACCTTATACATACATACTGTGATAACTGTGTCCAGAGTGGCGCAGACAGACACAAGGCTTTTTTTTTGTTTTGTTTTTTTGCTTTTTGCTTTATAGCACAAAAAATGAGTGAC